ATTTCTCTGTTCAGAGGCGCTCTCCCTTCGGGTAAAACGAAAGTACTTTACCGCTTAATTTTTTGCCCATCTTGCTGATTTATAGTCTCGGGTCGACTTTATTGCTCGACGATTTTCCCCGAAGCCGGTACATAAATGAAGCTTGGCTATACCCATTATTCACAGATCTCTCGTCGCCGATCGGCTCCTATTTTCCTTAATCTAACGTTCGTTATGGTCGAGATATTGAGGAAAAAGTGGTGGAAGAAATATAGAGATATTACAGAGAATTATGAAGATACAAAGGATATAAAAGCGGAGTAAAGCGAGACGATGGAGAAAGTATAGCGCAGTTAGCTCGCAATTTCGTGATATTTTACACGTCAGAGCTCTCCTCCGCGATTAAAAGTGCGATCTCGATTTTCATCCGCGCGAATAGAAGGAACGTCACAGGCCGCGTTCGCGCGTCGCCGTCGTAGAGAACGCAATCTGTCGTTCGACGCGACACAAGAGCGAATTATGATTGAATTCTTACAAGAGCTGTCGCAGTTATCGTTTTCGTTACACACGCTGCGGTTTCTACACGAATACATAAAGATTTATCGTCGCGCAGTCGAGCGTGGCGCGAGCGGAAAAGTACTCGGCTGCGTTTATCTCCCTCGAGTAAATCACACGCCGCTCGTATCCCGAATAAAGAGGAGAGAAATCATTCGTAAAAATGACGAGAGAGAGAAAGAGAGAGAGGAGAGAGAGAGAGAGAGAGAGAGAGAGAGAGAGAGACTCGTGCGCGTGGGCATCCAATTATTCGGCGGTAATAGCTCAGATATTACAGAGTGACGCATTCTCAAGCGATGCTCGGCGGCCGCAAATTGACGGAGCGTCTCGGCTCCGCCGTAACGTCCAGCCGTCTTATACAGGTCATTATTTACTGCCGTAAATAATTCCTCCTTAATGACGACTAATTCGTATTCCGGATGCACATTCACGGTGAACGCAACAATCAACAGCGCGGAACTAATATACCAGGAAGATCTCCGATACGCGACCGGGCTTTCGTCACATTCGTCTCGATGGCGAGTGGTAAAGAGAGAGAGAGAGAGAGAGAGAGAGAGAGAGAGAGAGAGAGAGAGAGAGAGAGAGAGAGAGAGAGAGAGAGGGAGGGAGAGAGAGAGAGAGAGAGAGAGGTCGGGGGTTATTCCGCACATCCCTCTATTTACTGCAGGTGTATGCTTTCCTACGACGACGACGGGCGCGCGGGCACACACAGCGATAGGCGGCATATATATGAACGCGATAAATCGCCGACACGCGTTCGTCGGCCGTATGTGAAACTCCGGCGGATCGCTCGTCGAGTAGATCCGTCACGAATGCAGGTGCCCACAGCGATGCACCAAGTGCATCGCGTTGCTGGTTGCACTCGTATTTTACAAAGTTCGCCGGTGCTTCGTCTACGTCATTTTTTCCTCGGGCTTCGCGCGCCGAAAGAGTGGAAATCGTCTCTCTCTCTCTCTCTCTCTCTCTCTCTCTCTGCGGAATAAGTTCCTGATACGGCCGAGCGGCCGGGTAGATTTAGACGATTCGCGATTTATAGCGGTAGCAAAGAAGGGTGCGATGGGTGGCGAAGGGGTGATAGTTATTTATTGACTCCTATAGGAATATCGCGACATATGCGTGGCCATTAAGGGTTTAGGTCCTATTAAGGTAATGAAATTTGAATGCAATATCTCGTCCGACTGATAAATCATTCCGTTAATAGCGAGGATATCTCGCATGAATAATTCACCGGCGAACGTATAACCTGCTTAACCGCACATATATAACTGACCGCCGTTAATACGCACTTTTAATGAACGAACATTTGATTCCGTCCAGAGGGACTCGGCGGCGCGTGCTTCACGTGATATCACGCCTATCAGCGAGCCCGCAAATTCCAGGATAACGTGTCGCAGGATTTACGACGATCACTTGAAACTTTATTTACACGCGCGTATCTTCGTCGCGGATCCGCTTGGTGGGATCAGCGAGGATCGCGAGAACGTCGTGCCGCTAATCGGCCGGGTGATTTCGTTCGATTTCCCGTGTCGTGTCTCTCTCTCTCTCTCTCTCTCTCTCTCTCTCTCTCTCTCTCTCTCTCTCTCTCTCTCTCTCTCTCTCTCTCTCGGCCCGTCTCTCATCCGGGAGCGCTTTAGGCAGTTGTCGAGACTATCGAGCAGCCAGCGCGCGTCCTTCTCGCGATCGTTTGGCTCGTTCTCCGCCGCGCGCGAATACCAACGCGCGAATTCACATTTCCCGACATGGGTTTACGCTCCAAGTCACACCGCTCGACTTCCGTCGCTTTAAGCCGGATCGGCCTGACGTCTTTAGACCGAGAGAGGCAAGATCACTACTTATCTGCGATCTATCCATTCTGCGAATCAGCTCTCGCGGATCTCTCCGAGGCGACTCGATGGTACAGCGCTTGTGTGCCGCTGCTTGCCGGGCTACACACAATGCTCCGTCTCTCCCATCTTCGTCGGCGGAGGATCCATCCAGCCACGAGTCGCGAGCTTCTTCTTCCATCCTCTTAACGGCCGACCATCAATGTGCCTTAGTCGCCTGCACGGTCCTCCCTCCGGCTCGTCGTTATCTCAGCCGCGATAAGTCCCCGAGGAGAACAGACGAGGACGACGACGACGACGACGACGACGACGACGACGACGACCACGACCACGACCACGACCACGACAATGACGGCCGCGACGAGGAGGAATATTTTTTCGCCCGTGCAAATCTATTTTAAATTCTCTTCCTATATCTCCGTTCTCCCCTCGCGGCCATAAACGGCGTCAAGTACTTCTCGCCCCGTAGCATATTAATTTCCGATAAATCAGTCGTCGCGTCCCTCCCGACTTCATTTGCCGCCCCTCGTCGCACCCTCATTACACCCCCGCAACGATTGCCGTTGCGAACTCGCGCGCGACCCAATTTCCTGACATTTTTACCTGAGAACCTTATTTATCCTGCGACACCTCAATTCTGGCCTGGATCTGGATCTGGACATGATAACAAGCTATAGCATCGCGATGAACATTGGAAATTTCACACGCCGAAATTAGCCCGACAATGAACGAAGCAAACGTGTTTGGATCGAAGAGAACGGAATTTCCGAATTCGGCTCTGAGAAGCGGAGATTCTGCTTCCTTCGAAACTGAGAAAGATCCACACACAGCCCTGATAGTTTGTTCCTCGCTCGCCGTTCTCTCTCTCTCTCTCTCTCTCTTTCTCTTTCTTTCTTTCTCTCTCACTCTCTACTGTGAGAGTTGGACCGATCCATTCTCTACATTTGGCGTTGCGTCGCCAGACACCCTCGTTCTCGTAATGCGAGCCGGGACGATGAAATCGCGGTATCAGAATCTCATTTCGCGCCGAGTCTACGCTATTGTTATGCTTCACTCCTTTTTTCTCTTCATGCCCGAGGCGGTATCGTGTGGGAAAACGAGGAAGCGACGCGATGCAACGGTGTTACCATTCGGCGTGAAACATTGCGACGAAGTCGATCCATCTCTGCTGGATTGTGTGCGGACGTAGAGCTGCGGATGAACAAGCTTTGGGTTCTCTATCTATCTTAGCGTCTATAGGGATCGAAAGGAAGTATATCTCGCGCGAGGATAAAGATGTAGAATGTACAGAAGGAATAAAGTAACACACGGTGAAACCGTCGAAAGTAGGGCGAATGTTCCAATTACTGACGCTCTCGCCGTAATGTCCCCGAAGCTCGCCGACAAAATCAGCTTTATGCACTCGGCTGAACGCTAACGCACGTTAGCGATTTATTTATTTGGTAAATATATAAAAGAAAAGGGTACACCTGACCGATTTTTTTCACTTTGAAATATGTTATAAAGGATGAAATTCTGAGTGACTTTCCTAATACAATTATATGGGTGGTACAATTATGTGGTCGCTGATAGTTTCTGAGATATTTGACTTTAAAGTTTTATAATTGTACGTTGAAGTATATTTGAGGTAGAGGTAAATATATAGAAAGGGGTACACCTCACCGGTTTTTTCATTTTGAAATATATTTTAAAGGGTGAAATTCTGAGTGACTTCCTGATACAACTATATAGGGGTCGCTTATAGTTTCCGAGATATTTGATTTTAAGTTTTGGAATTTTGATTAGAGGGAGATTGATTAGAATTTTGATTGAGAGGGACTCCACCCCTTCGCCGCACCCCCTCCCCAAAGAAATGCTAACCTAACCTAATTTATTGCATCTTTATATATTGTTGGGCGATATTGAAAATATCTCTTCAAAAGTCACAACACCTAATTATATGCAGATATTATAATAAGTTAAGTTGAGCCAGGTGATAGATCTCAAGAGAACTTTTTTCAATAATGTCCAAAAATATACAAAGATGCAATAAGTTAGATTAGGTTAGGATTTGTTTGGGGAGGGGCGGAGCCCCTCTCCCGCTTATATGTACTGTTTCCTATATTTAAAGCGAATGAAAACTGCTTGTCTACTTCAAATATACTTCGATGTACAATTATAAAACTTTAAAGTCAAATATCTCAGAAACTATAAGCGACCCCCATATAATTGTATTAGGAAAAGTCACTCAGAATTTCACCCTTTCTAACATATTCCAAAATGAAAAAAATCGCTGAGGTGGAAAGGTACCCTTTTCTATATATTTACCATTTATTTATCTTCACACGACGAGAAGCGTTCGCTTTGCTTCACGACGAAACGTCGTCGGTGAATACGCGCGCTGCGGCGCGGCGGGATGCTGTGACTCGTTACGCGCTTATAATAACGACGAGTTTTCGGCTCGTTGTGCATAACGTTGCGCATCTTTCCTGCCACATATTACACTTGCGCGACCACGGTGTGTTGTTATCGCAACGACTGCGTAACGAGTTGCAGAATCCCGCTGCTGGGGTGTCGATTGAAGGCGCTGCAAAGTGGCGAGCGAGCGAGGCGTAAGTAGGTGAAGTAAGTAGCTGAAGAAAACGCTTGTTTTGTGCGTTGCAGGCTTTCCATGGACTAGCTACTCACGATGACCAGCATGAAGTTTCTTCGCGTCATCCTGGCGCTCCTGTGGGGCACGCACGCCCTGTGCGCGCAGCCGTCGGCGTCTCCAACTGTGAAAAGCACCGGTGAGTACCTTTCTTCACAATACGACTGATTACCATCGCCCGCGCGTCCGCAAATCTATCTCTGGCGACGTGATCTGGCGTATCATTAACTTTTTGCTCGCATCCTGATTCAGTGAGCACGCACATTTACCTCGTTCATTAGCGATGCGAGCGCGTTTTCAGCGAGAGCTTGTACGTAGCGGGAGGTATTATTACGTCGGGAACAACGCCGCTATAAAACTTGCTTGTATCGGAAATGAAATCTTTTTCATCGAGCCATTATGTCGGTGTTGCATCTCCTCGCTACTCACGTGATTACTAATGGATTCAATTCGCGCGCGCGCGCGCGCGCGGTGTTGCCCCCTTCGTTCCTCCCTCGATAAAAGTTTGCGTACTCGATATCGGTGAATTAGCGAGCATATTCGCGCGACTGCAACGGCGACCTGAATATTAGCGAGCCGCCGTTGTATTTCGCAAGCTTGCAAATCACCGCACGCGCGTTCAACTACATTGTCCCAATGTCATATCGAGAGAGCTGAAATTACGAATAAATTTGCCCGCGTTGTGTGTACCTGGCATATTGTCGAAACGTTCGCCCGCTGTGTCGTCGGAAAGGACGCGCTGCAAGAGGAGGATGAAAATGTGAGAAAGTGAGTCCGAACACGCGATTTCGGGCTCGGGATTCGGTATCGCGAAGTCGCGAGTCTGTAAATTCGCGAGACGCGAGTTTTTTCTAAGATGCGCTCTGGTATCATCGCGAAGACACGAGGCTGCAACAACAAAGACATTCCCCGTCAGTTTCGTTCCATTTCCCATGGATGGTCGCGGAAGGGAATTATCATGCAAACGAAAGCAGGCCATGGCGCGCGGCGTTTCACGTAATTAACGACTGTCCCAGCTTCGCGTAACTCTCTGAAAGACTCGAGAAATGGCGGTAATGAAATATTCGCGAAAGCAGCGAATGGAATCAGACGGCGAGCGGAATGAGCCCGTTGAAATGAGTGACGAGTAATGCGTATGCATCGTCTCGACGGACGGATGGGGGGATGCTCGTTTCGTTGCCGCGATTTTTCTCATTGACGCGCTGGATTACTTTTCCGATTGACACGGCGCGAGCAAGCAAATTACAATGGCCGACTTGCGAAACTGAAGGCTGAATAATTAGTACAGCTCGCGCGCGGCGCCGTGAATACGGTCCGCCTTTCGCGACCCATTTGAATCTTAGTTACGCATACATTCGCTTAATTCGATGAGCGTAAAGTAAACGTGATTAACGTTCCGACGTATCAGCATCAGCGTGTATAATCAAAATGCGAGGAATAGAATAAGGCGCGCGACACGGAGGTAAATAGAATCCGCGGGGAGAATGGAGATTTTTTTAAACTCAAATCTCACATACACACACACACACACACACAGAGAAGAATCATTTCGTAGATTAAATTTATCGTCCCTATTGTTTTAATTAATACGTAACGAGATAATACCGCTTCCCTCTTGCTCTACACGCGCGCGCGCGCGCGCAATCTAGACAATCTTTCCAATTATTCTGAATTTATTACTTTAATTGTTCAGCTTAAAATAATTTATGCGAAACTCGGCGCGTTAATTGTACGCAATTAATCGGCATTTCGAAACGCGAGGTACAGACACGATTTAACTTTTCGCGAAATTTCGCGCGGTCATAAAACTAAGCTAAGAGCAATCGATTCGCGGATGACTCTCGCAGAATTTCATTCGACCGTCGAATCTGCGATACGCGCGCTCTCTTTTTTTTCCACGGATAGCTCCGGAAGAGCGCGCGAATCAGTGCGCTTTTAAGCGTAATTTTCATTCGTTACTTATGAGACCATTAATTCCGCACTGGAAATTCGCCGCGCTTTCGTTCGAGTGTGTATTTCATTTGAAACCGCGCTTTTATACGTCGTGAATTTTATGTAGCCACTCCTCCCTCCGCCCCGCCCGCGAGCCGCTTCCCGTGTGTGCAACCTTGTTCAACATAGCACTTTTTAACCGCATATCCACGTTCGCGAGCCGATAAATGTTTCGAGCACTTATGGCCTCTGATTTCCATCGCGCTCGAATTTGCGAGTACAGAACGCGCGCGTAATCCGATCCGAGACGATTGTCGCGTGCGTCCCCAGGCTCGATTTCCGACGGCGGCGACGCGTTTGTGTCGGTGACCGACTTGGTCGCTTCTTTTTCTTCCTTCTTTTCATACGACCGTTCGATGAGACGATCGATTCTCGTTTGTCGTTTCCCCACGGTGCCATTTTCGAGGGAAGCAGCCGCCGCGCCGCCCGCGCCTGCTTCTCGTCCGAGCTGTTTAGCGTCGCGTCCCAGCTTTGACGAGGGTTTAATGTTATCTCGTCAATGTCTCGATATTCCGCGATTAAGTCGATGTCGACTTTCCCGGGCGATCTTTTCTCGGGATCTGAGTCGAAAATTAGGAGGCTCCAATTTGCGGCGCGTACAAACACACATCTGTTACATCTTTCGCCTGGAACGTCGCCTGGAAAGTTTGCAATCTGTGGCAAGATTGCCGAGGTACTCGCCTCGGAACGTGAAGCATGTATTAAACATGTTGGCTTGTAAACAAAAAAGAAGAGGAAACATGTCCATCTTGCGCGGGGCAAAAAGCGACGGTAATATCGGGAGTGCGGCGGTGCGTCGTATCGATTCCCGCGTACGGCGTAACTCTGGCGGAAACGTTGGGTTCCTATCGGGGAGCCGAAGAAAAACTCGGCGCATTACGCGTGACTTAATGGCGCCATCGTGGCCTAAGTTTGTCACAGTGCATAAATTTCGCGTCATTATGAGACTGCTCGCGATAATTGCGTTGCGCCGCGGCCGACGATTTAAAAGGTCCGCCGCACTAATTAATTATTGCTGGCGAAGGGCGGCGGTAGGTGTTAAACGCGGCACCCGCGGTTCGCTAACCACCATGCGCGAAGAGCGAGGCCCTCGAGGTGTTGCCTCGAAGATTGAAGGAAAACCACGACGAGATCCGTTGGATAGATACGTGCTCTCCAAGCTGCCGCGCGGCAGCGTCGCTATGCGTTGCGGCAAAATTTGCCTCTGCTAGCTCCGCCGACGAAAACGGTCGTTTCGGTTCGCTGCTGTCGATCGAGCGTTAATCGATAACTCTGAATTTTTCCGCAGCTTCTGTTCTCGCTCGCGCGCGTAAACGCATTTTTTCCGCAACGAAATTTTTATTTCGCGCTTGCGATATCGTGCTTGTTCGCGCCCGTTTGTTGACCCCCTCCCCTCTCCTCCCCTCCCCCTTTACGACTTCAAATATTATTACATATCGTATGCAGGGTCAGTCGCTCGTGAAACGCTTCGGTTGATTTGAAATGACTCTCTCCGTTGTTTCCGACAGGCAGAGAAATTTGCGCCGGGATAAATCGCTCGGCGGCGGCCATGGGCGAAGGGGAGGAGAAATATCGCGGTCGGTCAAATTCTGTTCACCAAGATGACATTTAACAGGAGCGCGCGTAATAGACAGATAGAGCATCGCGCGGAGCGTCGATATATTCATTCACCTGGAAGTTGCACAATAAATGAGGATTCTCCCGATAAGCGATAATCGCGCTTTCAAGTGTCGCGTGCGATCAAGCCCTTATCGGACGACTGATGACGCTACGTATCGGCTCGTTCCTTTTTCACCCCCTTGCGAGCCCCCTCGCTGCGCGCTCTTGCGCTCGTCTCGAGATTATACGCGATGGCGTGTATAATGCAGGTTGCATCGCTCTGACCCCGATAGCCGGGGCGCGAGAGGAGGGGGGGCTGTTGTACGAGCCCGGCGCAGCGGCACCTCCACCAATCTCGAGACGCGATAAAAACTAAGATTACTATGCAATGCAATCAGCGGCGTGGCCGGGGTTCTTTCAGATTAAAACACAATCCGGGATTGCCGGTCGAAACTATTGTTTTGCCGCGAGAGCGCGCTCCGCGACCGTGTCGAGATTGCACGGCTCGCTCGGCCGCAAGAAGGCGTCGCTGGAAAATCGAGGGTCGACCGGGGAAGAAAATCCGCGGGCGCGACCTTCCGTCTTCCCTCAGGGCGTCGCGCGCCACGCATGCACGCGCACGTATGCGCCCCACGTATTCGCCACGCCGGCTATCAAAAATTCGACACACGTCGGCAACGGAAGCTCCTCGTAACTGCTTTCCGCGAGCGCGTTGTCGAGGCCGAGAAATTAAGTTCCTCGGCTACTCGCGGCGGAGTGCGGAGCGACGAACCCTTTCGACTGATGACGTTAGGACGGTGGGAAAATGCACTCTCAACATTTCCGCGCGATGCGTCTCGCGAGCATGTTCTTTTGCGTCCTGCGAAATACGCAGGACGTAAAAGAACGTTGTAAACGCGCGTTCGTTCGCTCGCACGCTCCTGACGTCATAAATAAGGACGAGCCGGGCGAGTAGCCAAGAGTCTCGAGTGAGAGAATCTCGATTGAGAGAGAGACTCGGTGCGAAAGTCGTGCCGATTCGTTGACGACACAAGACGCCTCTCGGCATCCACTTATCGCGCACTGACTTAATTTAGCTATACGAATGAATGCGAGCCGTGCGCACACGGATGTGTTGTTTCCGGCTCGGTCTGCGACATTTGCGTCTCGATAATGAAATTGTAACGAGCGAACTAAAGCCGGCAGCTCAGCGACCGCAGCGTTATTTGTCCCATGCGGATGACGGCAAGGTAGAGAGCCCATATATGCTCTTTCGATATGGACGAGCAGCGCGCGTAAAAGCACGAAAAAGTTCGTGGAAAGCTGTTCGCCCGGCGGATAAAACGAATGATCAGGACGGTGGTGAAAATCCGCACCTGTCTTCTGTGCTTTGAAGCGTAGATTTTTTAAACATTGACGTCACGTCTCAGTGTTCTCTCACGGGTATTTTCGTTTGAGTGTTGACCCATTGTAACGGCGTTGGTGTGTTTTGCGCTCGGCAGGGCGCTTTTTCGATTGTTCGACGTTATTTCCGGCCTTTATTACACTGAGAGAAAAGTATATGACATT